AGGTTTCCCAGCCAATAAACCGAGGGCCTGGAGGGGTCCTGCCCCTCGACCGAAATAGCCCTGTAAATACACTGCAAGCACTATGAGAACTGGAGCTTGCCCAGCTGATGAATGCTTTGTGTACAAACAAGGCATGTTTGTCAGTCGTGTACTGCTGAACCATGCAGGCCTATAAATGTTGGTCTTTGTTGTGATAGGCTCCAACCTCTCGTAGAGGGGCACTTTGATACCGATGCTTGTGTGCATTCATCGAAAGAAATACTGTGGGCAGGTTGCATGCAGTTTTCTTGAAAGCATTTCTCAACGTGACTCTCAGCCAGACATCTTTTGTGGAAGTTTTGTGAGGACAGATGACGGTTTGTTTTTTAAAACTCGTTTTCATCAAATTGAACCAAATTGTATTTCGTTTTTCTTTTTTCATTGAATTTTTCTTGATATGAAGTCAAGTGTTCCTTTGTCCCTGCCCAAGTTAACACAAAGATGATTCCTTCGGGGCAAAATGCTGTCATTCGATTCAGAGTGGCTGACGGCTACAATCGAATCAATTAGAGTCACTTCAAAATGAATCTTTCACCATCAAACGTGGTCTGTTCTTCATGTAAGTCACTGCAATAGACAAATGCAGTTTTCTTCAAAATAATAACACAGAAACAAATGCTTATACTGAACACAAAACGGAAATGTCATAACTTAAAAATATGTGCACCGCTTGGATTTTATAAGTGGTTCAGCCTCGTTTGGCATAACCTCAAGCAAACGTAATGGCAGAATACAGATCAGAGGAATGTTGGACCATGACTCCGCTTTCATTATTCCTTGGTGGTCAGGTGTCAATCGCCCTCTAGTGGTCATGCTGCAGCATCTCAATCGGGTTGAGGTGCATTTTCTTCTGTTGAAGACATTCATTTGTTGGTTTACTTTTGCCTTCTGGTTATTGTCGTGTTCATTGCCCATCCTGTGTCAAGCTTCAGTTGGTTGTTGTGCTTTTGTTGTGCTTTTTTTTTTTTTTCCCCTCCGTAAGTAGCATTGCGTGTTCATTACAAACAACTCAAGTTCGGGATCATCTGCCCACACTGTTCATTGCTTGCCGGTAGCATCCATGGTGTCCTCCAAGACATCCATTTGTTTAATGTTTGAGCTAATTTGTTGTCGTCAACAGAGATGTCCGCATGGGCCAGGTATTCCTGGAAGTCTTTAGCTGACTTTTTGGATTCTTATTCGCCTCATTGAAAATTCTGTTAATGTGCTCGTGCAGTGCTCTTTACAGGACGGCCGCAGCTAGGAGACATTGCATTTGTTGACGGTTTGTCTTAACCCGGACTGATGTACGTCAAGGCTTTTGGAGACCTTTTCTGTGACCTTTCCAGCTTGATGAAAGGTAACAAGTTTTAATTTTAGGCATTGTGGGAGCTCTTTTGTGTGTGCCACGGTCCCCTCGGAGCAATGCTTCTTTGGATTTGCAAACTCAAAACTGGTGCGGGTGTTTTAAACTACACCTCCTGTCTTGTCACATTGACTGGACCCTACATAATCTATTCTGATCCACCAAATACTTGCACCACTATATTAATCAAAACAGTAATTTTACAGCCATGTGATACGCACAGATTGACGTAAACATCATGTGATTTATCAGGAAGGAGTTCAACCATTTATTTAGCTCGGTAGGTTGTGATTTGTTTTTACATGTTCATTAAAGCAACAGCTTGATAAAAACAAGTTTGAAGTAGTTTTAAAGCAGTTGCAGATAAATTCTGTCCGGAAGCCATTTTGATGTGTGGAAACGTTGACATCGCTCTGCATTTACGAATGCCGAGCGTGCGTAGATTGGACGCGGCCTAACTATTGTGATTGAATCGTGTCTGTTCGGATTAGCAAAAGGAATATATCACGCCTGTGAACCCGAATGAAATTCATTGCGGATTTGGCCATTTTATTCCTATTGTTTATATGGAGCATTTTCATTCCATTTTGTCATTCAATTTTTATGCAAATCAGAATGCAAGGCTCCATGCAAGCCCGACATCTGTATGTCTGTCATATCACAGATTTGTTGTTCATGTCCAAAAATTCAGACTGAACTCTGAAACGTCCAGGGAGTGTCATTCATTAAATCTTCATATTCACTGTCCTATACTGTGAAACACAAATACAGTACATTTCTTTGTGTGCGCATCTTATGTGAGGTGTGTGTTAGACATTTGCACACAAGGAATGGGGATGACGTTTCTGCAGTCGCAAGAAGACAAGAACAACAAAAAAAAATAAATTGGGGATGAATTCTGTAGACAAAGTTCTTTTTGTTGTTGCTGTTGACTCCAGCTATCAGCCTAATTTAGGGGAATAGTAAGAGTGGGAGGAGGAAGCTGAGCCAGTGTTTAGAGGGGGGGGGGGGGGAGATGATGAATAGTGACTGTAACTCCACCAGTTGAAGGAGGGGTGACAACACAACCATTGAACTCGCTTTTGGAAGTTGGTGAGGCTCAGCAAAGCAAAAGTGCATCTGCCGGCACGTGGAGGAGCGGCTTTCACGTGGATGTCTTACTTCTGAGCTCGTTGGAGAACTGCCGGTAAGCATTTGAGCTCCTACATTCTGCAGTTGACCAGAAAGTTTGTTTTTTTTTTTTCTTTTGGCGACTACAACAGAAGCACTTTTAAATAAGACGATGTGGTCGTCGTCTCTAAATGATCCCCGGAATACAACTGCGCATAGAGAGCATTCTATATATTTTTTTAGATGACGTACTGTATAGTTTGTTGCCTCAAGTGTACAGCGTGTATCAATAACAGCAACAACCGTTTGTATATCTTGTGATCTGAGTGCAAATACCTGTGTACAAAGTGTTCGCGAAGTAATTTTTGTTCAACCAGTTTGGTTAGGCATGAGGAATAGCTGTTTTCCTTTTCGGGATTCAAATTAGACACCATTCTATTTTACTTAAAAACATAGTTGAAAAAGGAAAGGGAATACCAACCTTACCTGTTTTTAAAAAAACAAATATTCACAAATGTTAAAAAAAAGTACACAAAGGTCGGTTGTTTTCCTGTGTTGTGTGTAGAGGAAGTTACTTTAACTCTGACAAAAGTAGGAGTTGTGATAACCGAAGGGAAGAAAAGGGAAGTGATGCGCCGTGTTTTGTTGATGATGATCATCTTTGTCTTTCCTGTGCCTTAGTAGGGAGCTAATGTTTACACATTCACTAGAGGTGGACTAAATATAGACATTTGTTTTGCATTGGGACAGAAGGATTCGTGGATGTTGGCGGGTTCACGCTCCTTACAAACGGTGGCCTTCCTTTAGAATGTTGGTCACTTCAAATCTCATCTGGAGAATGAACGTGAAAGTGTCCAACTATTTATGTCAGGCGGCTGCTTTAGCCGCAGACACCATTTTGGAAACATGATCAAAACCTTCATACTGTATATATATATATATATATATATATATATATATATATATATATATATATATGCCTTATTTTTTTAATCACGCTCTGTTCACATCTATCGGTTGTATGTACAGTCCTGTCGGCGCCCCGTTTGGAAGCGGCGTCTGTTGATTTCGTGCCTCCTCTGTTAAGAGTCTTCAAGTGTTGTTCTGCGGGTTGTGCACCTGTTAACGATATGTTCCCCATTTAAACATGTCACTCATTCACATCGCATTTGCCAATCTTAGCTCTTGCATCTGAGCAACTATTCTTTCCTTAACACCAACGGTTTTCAAATTGTAAAAGTTTTGAGGTGTGCCTTGGCTTCAGCAGCGGACTTCAGGGGAGGCATGACTAAATATATATAGATTTTTTTAAGAACATTCTAAGCTCACCTCACATTTTATGCTATGTAAAGGCAACATTTTTGTTGTTGTTGCTAGCAGATTTTAAAAAATTCAAAAACAGAAAATCTTGCCAACAACAGCCGGTTTTAATTTCCATCATTCATACAAAAACACTTCATGAACAGCTGCAATTTAATTTAAGGTGGTATCACACTGCCTTGTCAGTGTTTGCGAATGTTGTTCTTTGGTCAGGGTTCATTCAAGGTCGCAAAAGATTGCAAAGACGTTCGCCAGACATTCTCAAACAACTGGCAAAATGGCCGCTCGCTAAGATGGATACAAACTGGTGGCTTTTGCTGCTTGATTCATATCCCACAAACAAAATATTAATCAGAATAGATGAGTGGGGCTACAGAATTTATTACGGTACTGTAAAGAAAATGTTTAAGTTGGTGAGCTGTGGTTGTTTGTCACCTGAGCCCCGAGCAATTGTGATGTCATTTTCAGTCGACAAATGCAAAATGGCCACCACCTGAGATGGTGGGGGGGAAAAATATTTTGCTTCTCAATTCATATTCCTCAGACACAATTTGAATCAGAATACCGTGTTAAGATTAATGGGGCTGCATGGAACACATTATTGTTTAAAAAAAAAAAAAGTAGTTTTTAATTAGTTGGCCTCTCCTTTCATGGTCGCAAGCAGTTTTTTTTTTGTCTTGCCGCCATCAAAATTAAAACTCGTTCAAAATGTGACAAGAAAAATTGTTACTGTTAAAACTGTTTGTAAATATCTGGCGAACATTTGCAACTTTTAACGAACCCTGATGAAAAACCTACATTCATTATGTGCACAAACACTGGCAACCAATCGCCATCCGGGCTTTAATGTCAGAGCTACTGTGATATTTTTCAAATAAACAGCCTTCTGCAGGTTCAGTAGAAGCACCTGTGGCTAAAGTTAAGGTGTGACTTTTTTTCATCAATGTAAATGTGTGAAGAGAACACCACAGTGTTGCAATTACAGCAATGCAACTAACATTATGTCTGACAGGCCCAAGTTTTTGTTTTGTTGTTGTCGATTTGAAAGGGGGGATGACTGTCCCACACACCCGCTGATTTTTACATTTCCATTTTATAACCAAGCATCTTTTCTGTCATTTTGTCTCTTTGTTCTTGTTCCATCCCATCACCGCTCTCCTCCATCGTCGTCATCATCGTGCTTCAGCTTCCAGACATGTAATCATCATCATCATCAGCAGCAGCAGCAGAGCGTAGTCCTGTCGGGAAAAAAAAACATTTTTCCTCTCAAACAAGGTAAATACCGTATGTCTGCCCTCTTGAGTTTCAAATCTAAAATCAATAGAAGACGTCCATTCTGGCAGTCGTGCTTTGTAGCACCTTGCAGTGTTCCCCCATCAATTTAAAGAATGAATTGATATTTTAGATGAAGTCCCATGAACGGATCCCATCAGGATATCAGGAAGCGTGTACGGCATGAACACAAGACGCGTGCGTGTCTGTCCGTCTTCATCCAGAATGTTTGGTGTGCTCTTGTCACCAAGGGCTATGGCTGTTTGTGTTTGTCAAGTCATATTTGCCGGGCCAGCCGACTCCCATAATCCTCCCGAACAGAACCTGTAACTGAAGACACTTTGTGTTCATGCCTATAGGCTCACCTCAAGCCCCGACACAAACAAAGACGTGCGCTTAGCAGTAAGCCAAGAAAAATGCCTGTTTCAAAGGAAAGCTGCAACGCGTTCCTGAAAAGGAGAACAGAGAAAGCGAGCATGTTATTTTAGTCTCTACCCAAATTGTGAATGTCTGTGTGTGTGTGTGTGTGTGTGTGTGTGTGTGTGTGTGTGTGTGTGTGTGTGTGTGTGTGTGTGTGTGTGTGTGTGTGTGTGTGTGTGTGTGTGTGTGTGTGTGTGTGTGTGTGTGTGTGTGTGTGTGTGTGTGTGTGTGTGTGTGTGTGTGTGTGTGTGTGTGTGTGTGTGTGTGTGTGTGTGTTGAGTCTGATTGACTGCATATGTTACGTTCGTGTTTGTTTTGGATTCAGACTTTTTGCGCAAATGAAACTACTTATAAATTATAATTTTAGTTTCATGTGTAGCACTCACGTGTCTTATTGAGAGGCTCCACCTTTTTTGTGTTCGTCTCTGTACACAAATTCTTTTTACTCCCCCCCCTCCCCCCCCTTGGCTGCTAAAAGCCCTTTGTTGGCATAGCGCACATCTAAAAATACCCACACATATTAACACCATATCTGTTAGCACAAGTGACATGGCCCCACACTGCCCCCAAGTGTGTGTCCGGGCACACTATCAAATATGTGCTACGAGTTGGTTTGACTTGACGGCAGAAAAGCACTCCTTGTAATAATTTGTCAATGGTTTAACGGCGCCTGTGGTCCGCACACCTCCGCTGACGCGCATGTTGGTGGTGAATTTGTAGAGTTGACCTCTGCGCCCGGCTTCCTCCGTTCCGTGTCTTCCCACTGGCGCCGAGCGTTTGAAGTGCTGGGGCTTGTGACATCACAGCGTCGGACACAACAATGGTCCTGCTGTCCCTGCGCTGCGTCACAGATGCTTGCTTCCCCCGGTGGATGCTTGGCAATGGAAAGAAAGGCCAGCGTGGGATGTTATACTGCCTGGTAGCCGAGTGTCACCATATGAGATCAGGAAATGATAGCCCACTTGTGTGCGTGCATGCGTGCGACACTTCAAATCTGACATACCATGACTTAGTCAGAGCTGCAAGCCACACACGAGTTACGTCATGTGTGTTTGACAGCATATGGATTTCATACGAGCCCTCAGGCTTCTTTTCCACGCCCTGTGTAATTGTTTGTCTTTTAGCCTGTTGTTCCTGTTGTTGTTTCATTGTGCAAACGAATAAACAGCAGGGCCGTGGAATGTCGCCACGAGATCTACTTTTAGGAGCAGTTGACCTGTTGGAAGTTTCAATTGATTTAGAACAAACTGGTGCACATCGAATGTGTTTAATTGAATTTGCTAGATTTCTTTGGCACGTCTCAAATGAGACAAATGCTTCTTGTCACTTATTTGATTTGTTGTTTGGACTGACGGAGAAGCTTTTGATGATTATTGGTGCAGATCGCATCAGTGCAGCTGCACTTAAAAAAAAAAAAAAGTCACGTCCAACGGCAAAGAAGAGTTTTATAGCTCTTCAGAAGTAGAAAGGGTTTTAGATGCCGCGAAATAGTGGGCAAATTTTTATTCAACATAACTTTTCCATTTCTTGTGTCATTTCCAGCAGATACATTCCACTTAACAAATAAGAATTCACTTAATTCCATATTATTAATCACTTTGGGCTTTCTTAACGTATGTGTGTATAACTGACATTTGATAACTTTTGGTCAGATGTGTAAGTTGATTGATTATGTATTGAACAATTTTGAACATAAAAATTAAGATTGTATATTTAAGTTCGTGAGTACCTCGTTTTTATCAGTCACATATAATATGTGAGCACATATGCATCCGGAAAACATCACTCTTTTAGTTTTTTAGTGTCATTTATTTGACTTCTGATGGTCTTTGACTGTGGATCAGATTTCCACTTGACATTTTTGTGATCGAATGGAAGTGTTTCAATTTGTCATTATCTGCACGGGTGTTTCTTTTTCATGTGGGCGATCCCGCAGGTACAAAGCGGGCAGTGTATGCTCCCCTCTGGTGCTGAAATGCACACTTTGGACAACAGGCAGCTTCAGCCTCCCTCAATAGGAGATGCCATTCTTATTGTACCTCGTGCACAATGACCTTTTCTCTCTTTGTCTCGTTCCACTCCGTCGTCTTCGTGACCATGAATGTCCAATGTCTGAGTCTGGCTCCGATTGGTGGTTCAGAACCTCATGTGACTGCATCTGTGGCTGTCAAAACAACACCGAGACAAGGAAAATGAAGTAGAAACCGTCAGTCGCTTCCCAGCACGCTGTTTGTTCACTCCAGCCGAGCTTAGTCATGCAGGGGAAATGAACACGTGTCATTGCAGAAGGGGAACTGGGAGTCCCCACCGAATGTTTATATCTGAATGTCGCAAGAGGGTATGCGTGAGAGAAAACAGAAGGATGTGCTGTAAAGAGGTCAGGGTGTTCCCCATTACCTCTTTGCTCATATGACCGGAGTCAGCATGTATCGCAATACTCGTTTTAGCACCCCAGTGCCCACCATCGGCACGATTGTTCTTGCCATCCATCCTATATGACTGCAATGGAAATCACCCAAATTTGATCGTTCTTCTTTTTTTTTTTTTTTTTTTTTTTTTTTTTTTTTTTTTTTTTTTCCAACTTGCATTCTCTCACAGCTTCCACCACCTCTCGGACTGGACTGTGGTGCATTGACTTCGTCTCGCCCTCCCCTGCCCCCTCGACCTCCAGCAATGGCCTCACGCATTGGTCTGCGTATGCAGGTAAAAAAAATGAGCATAACTTGTCCACCGTTATTATTGTCCACTTTTTTTTTTTTTTTTTGGAAGTTGGAAGAAGAATGGAAACAAACGCCTCACCTTGTAATTTTGCAGTCATCAATTGTTTCGTGCTCAGTGATTGCACATATTTCCATCCTCAGCTGATGCGAGACCAGCTGCAGCAAGAGGAGCAGCGCGAGCGGCAACAGCAGCAAAATGCAGCCCTGCAATACATGCAGCACCGCATGGCCGGGCCACCTGCCCCCACTGCGGCCATTAGCACACCCCAGAACTACCAAAGCATGCAGGTGCCCGTGGAGGTTCTTAAGGTCAGTAGGACTGCCGCGATTGATCATTTTCACATATATATTCCCCATTGTGGGACTAGAAAAGAATTAAATTATGACTCTTTATCGTATTACTGCAATGTACTTTGAACCTTATAGGCCCCTCCTCTCTGCTGATTTATGCAGCGATGTCCTAATTCATTTTTTGTTTCCGGTTCGTTGTGACGTTACTGTTCATTATTTTCTCTTGCAGTTTTAGCCAGGCAATTTGTGGCAAGTTCACTGTATCGCCCATCACTTATTTCGTGGTTTCCCGCCTACGTCGAGGATAGCTAGGCAACTAGCATGGCCTGTCTTTCTCCTGTTAAATACTCCCCGTGATAGCGATACTGACAGAAGTCGAGCTTATTCTCTGCCATGGAGGTGATAATTAGTGACCCATGTTGTGCTGATACCGGATGCTAAGTGAACTTTCACCTCCATAACTCTGCATCGCGTTTAGCCATTTTGGCTAGCCAGACAACAATCAGTGTTTTGCCCGTAACGAGTTAGTGATTTCGGAAACAAAATGCGGATGATCAGTAAACATTTGGCACCTCTGAAACTCCAACTGAAATGTCAATCAACATTTTAAAGCACACTCAGGGAAAGCAGAAGGACACGCTCGCTACGAGCAACACACGAGTTGCTTTTAAAATGCAGGAACTTGCAAACACACCCCTAAGCCCTTCATCACATCAATCATTTTTCTTCGCTTGTAATGTTTTCACGATGGTGAGAACCCAAAATGTTCAAAAATCAACGAGAGTTTTGCTTTCCTTTCCGATGCAGGTACAGACCCACCTTGAGAACCCGACAGACTACCACATCCGTCAGTCTCGGAGGCAGCAGGTGAAAGAGTACCTCTCCACCACCTTTGCCACCAAACAGGTATCTGTCACTTATCATCCTTCCTCCGCGACATGACACCGTGACCGCATATTGGAAGTTGCTCAGCCGCTCTTCTGGTTCTCTCTGTCAGATGGTTCACGCCGTAGCGGGGCCAATGCCGCCATCTCCCCCCGCGGCCATCGGGCCCACAGGGGGTTCGGCGTCCCTCCCCCCACCCCTCCACTCTCCCCACAGGCGCACTGAGCAGCTCATGACTGGCAGTAGCGCACCCAACAGCCCAATGGCCATGCTCAACATCGGCTCCAACCATGAGCAAGAGGTAGGGGCGCAGAGACTGTGGCCTGTAAACATATATTGGAGGTCATGTCAAATAGTGCAGTTTACAAGAAAACACCTTGAACAAGTCTCCCCCTGAAATATGACCTTATTGCATACATATAACATTATGAGGATTGAAGATTATCCCCATTACCGGCACATTTTATGATGGGTCGTAATGATTTAATTGTCCTTTGGTAAGCTGGTAAGCTGAAGCGGCATTCTAAAAGCCATTTGTGTCGTGCGCACAGTGGGTGAATAACAGTATTGACGAACTGACACGGGCGTTCATTGAAGTTTAAATGCTCCATTATGGCCTCGTAACAGCTATTACGACTTTAACAAGTGACAGACCAACAGTTTACTATGCCAAGGGCCTTTGAACCTGGCAGACTTTGACCAAAATCTCTTCTACCGGAGCTCTCAGCCTCTTTTTTTTTTTTGTCAGTCTTACTGAGAGGAAATAGTCTAAGCAGTTAGTCCTTGAAGAAGTCATCTTTTCAGTCGACTCTAGACTGAAACATGCGCCTGCAGGTGAGTTCACCTGAAGGCCTCCTGACATGTCATTTTGAGTGTGCAAATGTGGCTCCGATGCATGACTTATCCTAAAGTTCGACGTTACAGGCTGTGATAATACTCTCCGAACAAGTGTTCCCATGTTTTCTTTTGTTTTTTTTTCAGATGGATGAGGTCATTGATGACATCATCAGCATGCAGTCCAGTTACGATGATGTTCAAGCCTACATTGACCCCGTCCAGATGCCCAACACAGTAAGTCCGGCCAAAACGAACACGTGAATGACGATTGTGAGCAGTATTATATGGACAACGCTGTTGATGCAATCTTATTGATCAGTTCATTAATCAATTGGTGCAGAGTTCAACCGCACCGATTAGTTTTCTCAGAATTCTCATTCCTCAGCTCACCCTGACATATTGCAAACCTCTTTGCTTGTGGATAACTGAACAACAAACCCTCAAAGGCGCAATCCAAAATGTTGAACATATATTTTCTGAAAAGATTGGAAGTCTTTCTAGATTCATTGGTTCCATTTTAATATCGTGTGTGCAATAACCAGTCTTTGAAAAGTTTGAGCAGAATACTTTGGATGCATTTTATGCAATTATACCAGATTACTACACAATAACAGTAAATTCATTCATTGCTATCGTATTTTTCCCCATACATCATTTTCTACCTCCAGGATTTGTATTTATTTATTTTGACAAAATGTTACGTAGCTTTATGCATGGAACAAGAAGTTTTAAATAAATAAAAAAGATCTCATCATTGCAATTTAAATGCAAAGTATGATTCCAAGTGTTTATCACACATATGCTTTTTTTATTTTTATTTTTTTGGGTGTCCAAACCCAAGCAACAATTTGTGATGTCACAAGCATTTTCTTGCGTAAACACCCAACGGTTCTATTGATTTGAACATGCTGAGCAAGGTTATACACGCCAGCAAAAACATGTCAATTGAAGACTGAGGGTGAGGGCCAAAGTAAGAATTAACAATTAAACTGCCGGCAGTTAGAGTTCAACGTGTTTACAAGGTATTTGGAAAACGGGAGGAGGAAGAGGAGGAGGGGGAGAAGGAGAAGGAGGGGGCAATTTGTGCAAGGGGAAAACAAGGCTGAAAGTCCAGTTAGGGGAAAGTTCACTCTTGTTTGGTGGCGGGGAGAGAAGTATCTCGACGAAAATTGGATCAGTGCTGGTGAGGTCGTGTCCCGACGCAGTCTGCTGTGGAGTGAGGAGGAAGGACCCCCTCCGACCTTACTGGGAGGGATTAGAGGATGAAGGAGATGAGTACGACTTATGCCATTGTGGAAGTTATTGAAGGAGAACAAATTCAGCTGGTAAGATATTGACTTATTATTTGAACTACTGCGGTCAGTGTTGGTGGAGTTGGTCGGCGCTCTCATGGGTGTTGGGTGAAAGAGTGGGACCAAGATGGCGGTCGACTTTAACTACCACCCTCGGGTCGCTGATTACGCACACAGAGTGCGGTGGCGGGAGGCATTTTCAGGTTGTCGCAGGTTGTGCGATGCATCATGGCATGAATGTTTGATTTCATCTCACGACGGAGTTATTGGTCGGGTAAATTTCCTCTGACCTTGATTGGTTTTATCTGAGCGGGCACATTTGTCTGCATGCGTTTTCCCGTCCATTTGTCACATCACGGCAGTAGATTGATTAGATTAAGACAATCAACACTGACGCGTCTTGTGGCGTGAAGCCCGTGAACTCAACGAACTGCCGGAAAGAGAGAGAAGAATATACCTGTGTGTTTTGTGCATACTAAAGTACATTTTTCGGTTTTCTTGTATTCCGAATTCACCAACCAACGAATCAAACACACCTGCTAATCCGGACGGGGATTAAAGAGGAATACTCCTGGAATTCTTGGAATCTCAAAGTTTAGTAAGAGCCCGGCCGGGATCACCGCTGAATACCAGGAATTTACTCTGGGGTGGAAGTTAAGAGTTTGTGTTGATGTGTGGCCTTGTACAATAAAACCCTGAGCCACATAAACCATATAGTGCCCCGTGAAATTAAATTTCTTATGGAATATGCCGTTCGATAGGTCAGACGGTTTTAGCTGCAAAGGGCTTGCAATGCTTCTGCGCTGCAATTTGACGCATAACTTACTCTTAACAGACAATTTAAAACATGAAATTCATTTCAATCGCACCGGGTTGAAGTCATTATTTGCATTTCACAGCAGGCGATTTACATACAGAGCAATTTGTTTGTTTGTGTGCGTGCGTGCGTGTGATGTGACGTTGGAGCTCGCACAGTAGCCAGTCGATAAGGTATCACTTCCTTTGGATGTCTTTATCTTTCAGGCCTCATTAGCGAGTGCCCCAATCGCCCTCACGCCAGAGAGTAAAACACAATAGAAAACAAGGCATTCAATCAATAAACGAATCCATTCAAACAACATCTGGTCTTTTCATAGCAAAAAAAAACACAGCTCTCAGCGTTAGCGTTTGAAGTGCGACCTTTATGAGCGTTGAATAAAGCCATCGAGACAGATAAGATACTGGCCAGAGGATGACGGTCACTCCTTGCAGCATGCTTGTCCAAAAATCCTCAGGTGTGATATTGTCGCATTACGCTAGGTTATCTGTTCTTTACAGCGCACTAAAAACATGGACGCTGACTTCATAAATGTACTTAAGCAGGGATGTGAGGCCGTAAATGCGTCGTCTCGGGGCCCACACAGAAGTAATCTGAAGTTACGCCCGCTCGCCCGATGTTTGACTTTTCACTTTTTATGATCCGTCGACGTCACATTTCGGATTTTTGCCGTGAAATGGATTGAAGTATTCATCAGTGTTTCCCTTTAGTAGACCGAGGCACCTATTTTGTCTTAGAAGTAAATCTCACGGCACAAAAAGTAGTTGATTTTTGTCATCGAGCAGAAGAGCATTTCATTGTTCCGCCTGTCGTAAGTGGCCCTTCGAGTATTTGCTTCGGCACAGCCGATGCTCACTGACTGCCGACGTACGAATGTGCTACGACTCGTTGGTTGGGAATCCCCGCAACTCTTTGCTATCATCTATGTCGAGACTCGGCTCTCTTGAGGCCACGTATGGGTTCGGATCAATGTTAAGATGAAGTTGACACATCTGCTTGTTGGTGTTTTGATTGCGTTTGCGTTTCCATGCCTCCTCCGCAGCTCCCTCTGTCCAGCAGCCACCTGGATGTGTACACAGGTCCGGGGATGAAGGGGCCAGCCATCGCGATGACCAGCAACTCCTGTCCTGCCAACTTGACCATCAAACGGGAAATTTCAGGTGCGACCATTTTGCACGCTTGTCGCGAAGCCGCTCATCGCGCGCGATTGAAACACTCCGCAATTGTCGGGATATTTGGATCACGGATTGGTTGCCATTTCAGTTTATCCAGGGTCAGACTCAACGCGTCTACATCATCACATTTTTATGAACTGCAGAGGCAATGTTTTATTCAGTAACATTTTAACATTCGTCCCAGATATCCAAGTGCAAAAAAAAAAAAAAAAAAAAGTTGTCTACTTTCAAATGAAGATAAATACTGATCCAAAAGGACTGGGGCAAAGCTGATTGGTCGATGTATTCAGTTGAACACGTCTGTGACACAAGTAGAAAAACAAGTAAAATAATGTCAAATTTTCTGGTTACACCGGATTGAATTCTCTAATTTCTAGGGTATATTTAGTTTTTGGTTGTTCTTTTCTTCGAAAAAGTGTCACCCAAAAGCCAAAGAAAAGGTGCAACGGGTACTGCGTTTATTATTTGACTCTTGTTAGGCCCTGAGACAGAAACTCCTTGATAGTTGACAGTGACTTACCGTTTGAGAAACTCGACCATTTCAAGACCATACAGACAGACCAGACTAGCTTGTAATAATAAAAGTTTAAAAAAAAAAATTTAATCTGCACTACTTATTGTCACATACAGTGTTTGTGTCAGCCATTTGTTGATGACTTTTTGTTATTGCAAAGACACAGAAGCCCGTGCCCTGGCCAAAGAGAGACAAAAGAAAGACAACCACAATCTCAGTAAGTCTTTCCATCTACCAGTGTGCAGTTTTACTCTAAATGTAATGTTTTTGGTTTTTGAGTACATTGCGTAATCTTATACAGGAGCGACACCCACACACACACACACACACACACACACACACACACACACACACACACACACACACACACACCTACTCAAGAATAATCTTGTACAGTTGTATATGCCGTTTTGCTGATTTGGCAGACGTAGTGCAGTGAGTGGGTGGCTAGATAACCTGTAAATTTTTTGCTGCACTGGCACTGAAGTATACTTAATTGCCCATGACTGTGTGCGCTCATGTGAACGCGAGCCAATGTGTATAGAGGTGTAACTCTCTCGACGTGTGTCTTTCTTTTCTCCCTTGTGTCTTTTAATTCATCCTCTTTTGTCTTTCCTTCTTTTGTTGAATCATTTACAGTTGAAAGAAGACGGAGGTTCAACATCAATGATCGTATTAAAGAGCTTGGCACAATGATTCCCAAAACCAATGATCTGTAAGTAGTATTTGTTAATATGATTTTTTTTCGTGGGGTGGGGTGGGGGGGGGGTGCTGTGTTAATGTGTTTGCCCTGCAGACAAACACACTTGGAAAAATATCATTAAATGAGCAATCAAATGTTTGTCCAGTTAATAAGGTTGTTTCTCTTCACGTTAATCAGATTATGTTGGGGGTTAATCACATGCCGACAACTCAATTAAAGATTATGATCATTTTCCAGTCCTAGTTACTTGAGGAGATTAAAAAAAAAAAAATGCTTCGGGCACTATACAGGAACGCTGCTAGGTGACGTCAATGAGTCATTTGCCTTTATGCGTTGGATAGTGACGTTCGCTGGAACAAGGGCACCATCCTGAGAGCATCTGTGGATTACATCAAACGTATGCAGAAGGATGTTCAGAGGACCAGAGAGGTGGAGACTAACTTTAGAAGGATGGAAATGGCCAACAAACAGTTGATGCTTCGAATTCAGGTAATTTTGTCATTTGTTGAAGTACGTTTTTTTTTTTTTTTTTTTTTTTTTAATTGGGTTGGGCAAATGTGGTTGGAGTAGGAATCATTTTGGGCCTTACTGTATGTCGAGACGCCTCTGCATTGAAAACCTTGGCGTTAACAGGAATTGGAGATGCAAGCTCATCTGCATGGCCTACCCAGCAACTCTCCATCTGCCCTCAACCCAGTAGACGTGATGGCCCCATATATAAAACAAGAGACCAGCCCAGAGGAGAACCTTTCCCACACCCAGACACAAGCTCCCCACCACCACCACCACCTAACCCAGAGTCAGGCTCCGCCCCAGCCCCAGCAGCATCACTTCCTCCCGCACACCCACCTGCACCCTCCAAGTCAGGCTCAGCCGCAGCCTCAGCAACCCAGGCAGCTGAGCGTGCTTCCGCAGCACCTCCAGCCCCAGCCGCCCATCCAGTACCCGGCCGTAGGCAGCTCCCAGCCCTTTGACTTTGCCCAGTCGCTGGACTTGTGCGACGGCATGCAGGCATTCTCAGACGGCATTTCGGCGCTGGGCGATCTGGGAGGACTGGATATGCAAAGCCGCAGAAGCGATATGGGTTTCCTCATGATGGATGAGCCGTTGTCCCCCATCGGCGGCGACCCTTTGCTCTCAACGATGTCCCCAGAGGCCTCTGTCGACTCCAGTCGCAGATCTAGCTTCAGCATAGAGGATGGAGACATACTGTAGGCCTATGCCCGCACGCACGCGTACACACTCCTGCTCGCACACACTTTTGGAGGAAAAAAAAAATTGTTAGTACCACTATGAACCGCATAAAAAGTATCCCACGATGCATCCAACAAATGTCAAAACTGATAGCTTGCACTGATCTCACACACGCAACACTTCACAACAACAGAAAAACGGAAGGAGACACGAACTGAGGATCTTGGAACTTTCAAAGGACATTTTCAAGAGGTAAACCAACACTGAGGTCAGAGAGTTCGACCGTATGTCGTTTTCATGATGGTGGTGGTCATTTTTTATTCACAGGATGAAAACCTTGTACATTGCCCAATTTGCCGCATCACTATAAATGATTACACAATACTGAATCATATACAGAAGGAACAGCTTCATGGTGTGCATAATTTACAGGTAGCCTGCAGTGATGACGGTCTCCGTCTCATTTTTGTTTCGGTATATCGGTGATTGCACAATTTTGTCGTCACGATGAGCACTATGTGGTTGGTGTCAGTCAGTCCTTCAAGTCCTTAAAGTAGCCATGTTGACATGCACATTGTGGGCTTTACAGGTGTGACTTTTCTAATCTTCACTCTCAGTGTACTTTTTGTCAACTCACACTTCCACCAGTGCCACTTCCTACACCTCCTTTCTGTAAATGTGTTCATTGCCATTTAAAACCATTTCATCCATCCATCGTGCTACTCAGGTACTATAACGGAATTCACAAGCAGGGTCGGTTGAATTAAGTGCCGATGGGAACTCGAACCAGGCCGTGACAGAAGTTGATACGGTTAACTTTTCTTTACGGTGGTAGAGGCCCATACAAAGGATGGCTTTTAATCATGTACATATTGCAGTAGAGATCACATCTTTGGTTCTCTCACACACACACACACACACACACACACACACACATGCATATTTGAGCTGTTGATTTTATGCTGCCGATACCCATCATCCAAGAGTGGGATCGGCCGATTCCGATACCGATCACATGTATCAGCTGCACATTTTTCAGCGTTAGAGCTGCTCACTAACGATTATATTAATAATCGATTCACACACAAAAAGGATATCTTTTGGTCCACGTTGTCATGGCAATTTGAGCATTTAAGGCATTGTGATTGGTAAAAAAAAATAATAAATCTTCTGGCGGTATTTTTCATTATAAGTAGGGATGGGCATTTCACATTTCCTTGATTAATGAGGGAAAATAACGCTTAACTGATCAATTATTTGTTCTTTTGGGGAATGGGGAATTGCTGTGTGGATGTTCAGAACTCCCATTTCCATGGCACAGTGATGCCATGTTGTTCCCAAGACCACAAACCAGTTTGTCAATAATTTATTCCACGCAGTCGACCAAATTTGTAATCATTATCACTTTATTGGTAGATGATTGTGCCCATCCCTAATTATAAATGTTTCTTTAGCGTAGATTGTTGTATTTCCCAAAGCACTGGAAACTATATTATTGTTTTGACTTTGTACAAAAATGATTATTATTATTTTGCAGTTTTATGCCACTAAGCAGTTTTTAAGTATTTCGTTTGTGTTCTTTTTATGCAATTTTCATTTCTGCCCCCCAGTGCAACTCTTTCCTCCTCCTTTTAAAGCCAGTTAAAGCTACACACGTGTTACTTGAGATGGAGTAAAGAGCCATTTGGGAACTTTTGCTTACCTGGAAGATTTGTACATCTTGATACCTTTTATTTTTTCTCGTTGTTATCTTTAAAGCCAAATAGTAGATAGAAGTAGATTCTTTGATCTGAATGAATTCAATTTTCTCACATTGTGAATGTAAAGTTTACCAGTAGGTCTGGTCAGCGGGAAGTCAGTTTTGTGCCTTTTCCCTGTCTTTGTAACTGTGGTTTCCACGGAAACCGGAAGACTGACTTCACCTCAACTCTCTGCTGCAACGTTATCAGTGCCTGACCGTGTTATTTTATTTTTCCCCACCAGAGTTGTCTTTTCCCATTTCAACCACAGTTTGACTGTTGTTGACAACCTTGCCAACACTCCAAAGATTCGCTCGGAACCCCTCGAGAATTCCACGAGAGGGCGCTCCGCAGCGCAACATAACACAGGGGACATCTCTTGATTTGGAATAAGTTATAAAATATTTTACCAGAATCCATCACTTTGCTTCAAGCCTTTTTTTTTCATCTGTGGTGACATATTACGTTCTCAAATGATCTTTTTACCGGCCTAATATAATTTTCTACCGATAATTTTGGCTGTGTCAGCTGCCAAAATTGAAGTGGTGGTAGCCTGTTAGCTGCGATGGGGGCTAATAGCTGCCTGCCTTTTGAGTTAAAATATTCCCATTGCTAAATGTCTGAAAACTCCGACCAGTTGCCACCAACGTTCATATACGCATTCCTATTCTTGTCTGGTTGAACTTGTAAAAATATATTTTTAAAATTACGTTCATATTTTCACAGGTTGAAATGGACAGGAGTAGAGCTCTGTTTAAATTCCTGTGACTATTGCTCATCATTTTTCAGACATTAGGTGACAACAGAATATGACAACGCAAGCCAGGAAACAATATTATAACGCTCCTTCCTTAACTCACGTAGTCAAATCGAGACGACAAAAAGCAGTCCTGACATCATTTTTCCATAAAGACCTATTATTTATATAAGTTCCAATGTTCAGCCCAATCAAGTGTCCCTTTAATGAAAAGCTACAGACAGAATAGATCAGTGTCATTACGCCAAGACCCCATTACAGAAGGTAGTGCACATTTCATATTCACGTATCTTTTAACTGATGTAAATGTTCAATGAAACAATGTAACCCAATGTCCTTTTTTCTAGACAATTCATTGTGTGGTGTGTTTGATGTGACCGATGTCTGTTCCCAGTGACAGAAAAGGAGTGAGGTTCAGAGGTTGTCTTGTTTTAAAGTGGATCTGATGTATGATATGTTATGACTGTTCGCGTGCTGGGCTCCAGTCAAAGGTAAAGCATTGGCTCAAATTCTGTTCTTTTGCAAAAATGGATATCGATAAAGTGGACTTGCCAAATAATAAGCCGGCACTTTCTGCTGACCTCTTGTAGGTCATTTCCAACTGCTTATTAATGGCTTTAAACAAGCTTTTAAAGTCATTAGTAACCTATTTCTATCCAATTCATAAAGCCCATTTTTAAAGGGACCGTTTGCTCCATGTCATTATAATAACGTCCATGAGGGGGCATTAGAGATCTATGGGTTGTTGAATGCTAGTTTCTTTTTTGAAACTACGCTTATGAAATATAGAGTTGTCATTTCGAAAGAGAGACACACATAATAATTTGCAACCCAAAAAGGTTTAAAAATGTTTTTCGCCAGGCGGTTGAAATTTAAAAAATAAAATACAAACGTGCAGAAGGACATCAAACCCAATGCGCCTTCAAGAAGGAATGCAATATTCCCTCGGTCTTATTTCGCCGACCACCTTTTGTCCCTTTTCTCTCCATCTTCTTCTAATGTATTAGCCCAAGTCTCCTTCAGGATGAACCATAAATTGTTTAATAGTCCTTAACTTAAATAGAGGTAATCTTATTTCTAATCCTCACATAGACATACACATCATTGATGCACAGAGAGGATGTTAGTGTGTAGTAGTGGTGTGTGCAGCCCATCCGCAGGCCCATTCTCCAGAGTCTTTATGATGCTAATGTACTCCCTGGTCTAATAAATCCCTGTAGAGCTGCAGAGAGTAGATCTTATGGCTCACTCCGATCACCACCTCCGATCTCCCTCCAGCACTCACACACACACACACACACATATATAAATGTGCTGCTATTACTGTGGCAGAAGTGCCTGCCTTGCATTTCTATTGATACTCAGGGGGCTGTTTTGTAAGAAGAGGCAAGGCAAAAGGTTAAGACAAATCAAACACAAAGAAGCAACTTAAGAAACGCTGGCAATCTAGTGGCACGTGTGTGGCCGCTCACTTGCTGCACTCGGTTGAGGGCAAAACAGAAAATGTCATTTTTCTCTCCGAGGTTTTAGCATCCCAAAATGTAAACTATCATACTACATCCTACACTCTCAAACCTGTTCCCCTACTCCATCGTCTTCCTCTGGCCACTCGGCTTGGCGTTCCTCCCTCCACCTCCCTTTGTCCCGCCTTCTTCCTCAGGGGAGCAGTGTGTCACTTTGCTGGAAGCCCAAGGAAGAGAGGTGAAAGGGGCCTGATTGAGCTAATTTAGCCCCTGGATGTGAGAGCAGGCAAGGCCTCACCTCATGCTAATAGACACACATCAAAATGGAGATGAGGAAGATTGATGAAAGGCAGAGAAGGACTATAAAAACTGGGAAGACTTTTTTTTTTTTTTGGATGGATTTATCTCTTTTTTTTTTTCTTAGGGAATGTGAAGCAAAGTTTTTTATGAGTGACATTGTGAAGTTGGTAAAGGTTTATGTGTGTTACCTTGCTGATATAATATCAGGAATATTACTCATTGATCCATCCTCCTCCATTAAGTTGCTGTCAATCACGGCCAGTTTTATGATTTCCTCCGCATCGGGCCGATTCTCTTGGGCAGCCAAAAATAATGGAGCTCACCACATGATGAAGATTGGAGCCACAATTTATAGCTTCCGTGGCCGTACATCGTTGAGTAGCACGTCCCAAAGAAAGTGACGCAAAATTGATTTGAGAGCCATCCTTCATTACCGCACATTGACGTTTCCCGCTTGGTGAATTGCAACGGAGCCCTTAAATTGAAATATACCTGTAGTTACACAAAACTTTTGAGGTCAAACTCATGCTGACATCGCACAATACGAAATTTCAGTTAAATAATCTTTTTTTTTTTCTTCATTCTCACCATATGTGACCATGTCTACTGTAGACTGATTTATATTACAAATCCCAGGAGTCCTCAGATCCAAATACTGTACAGTGGAACGCCTGGAAGCCAACGTTGTTCTTTGGAGGTTTATCGGCATACTTTGGGTGGGGGGCGGGGGGTTACAAAGAGAAAGGGCAGCCGCAGCCAAATGTTTAACATCTTGCAACATAGTTCCTCGACACCAAGATGCCACAAGATGATGTCAAACCACAATTTTTTTTTGTCCAAATAAAACTCCTCAACTCACTCAGTTCCTTGACTGGCCACCAACCAATTGCACTTTAAATATACCACTGTGAACTGAATTGTTAGACTTGTATGACAATAAATAATATTCAAATGCTATTGAATAAATTGCAACAGTTTGACCCTGAAAGAGAGTGTTTTAATTTTCTATGGGAAAATGTTTTCCATCATGGCGGAATGAATGGCATTTGACCTCGGAGGTTCCACCCTGACAGCGGCCACATTAGACTTTGTCACTTTTGAGCCCTCCTCATTTGAGCTTCATTGGCTCTACATTCAAATGTGGAAGACGAAGTGTCCTTTCTTGAAAGGTCAAAACCGAGAGCACATGCAGCTACCCGTGACAGAGGCGAAGCGTCTTCTCTTTTCTTTCTGCCATCTTCACATTCTCTCACTGTAACTACCTCGACATCAGCGCCGCACACCTCCCGTCCTTCTTCATTCCCACCTCCGCTGCCCTCTTTATTCCGCCGCTCCTTTTGTCCATCTTCTTCTACATAATTAATACTCTTTACTGACTCCCCTCAACCTCCGGTGCTTCCATTCCTGCAAGAAAAAGAAACTCAAATTGGCTGGAGAGATGAATAATGTCCTCGCCGTTAACAGCGGCAAAGGAAAGGTTTGGTCTTTTCAAGTGTGTGCAGGTGATGAGATGGCGTATTGGTCAGTGGTCAGGGTTTGTCTCTTTTCCTTTCTTAGACAGCCGTCGAGAATGATGTGCGGTGGTGACACTTTAAGAGACTTAGCCGTGGATGAAAATGAAATGAAATATACATTTTCCTCTTAATTTTGCTTGCCTATTTTTCGAGGAGGGGCGGGCAAAATTAAGAATACATACATTGTCCCCTAACTAGTCTTGCGTTACTGCCATGGTGTTTTACTCCTCATACCCAGTAGGGGGAGTTAGTGGTCCACAACCTAAGACAAACCCATTAAGGAGATGATTAGTAAGGCTTGATGAACATTGTGTTGCAGTGACAGCAATTGACATTTTCAATCAGTCGGGGGTTCTTCGTCCTGAAAATGTAAATCTTAATCACTCCAAAACATTTTGGACAATTCTTTGGGAGCAGTTATGTGAAGGCCGTTTCGTGTCCGACTACGTCAAACAAGGCTCGATTGGATGAGTTTGGTGTGGAAGAACTTGACCGGAACCCAATCAAAAATCTTCCATTTTTGCTCCCTATACGGTGATCAAAGCCAGGCGTCTCAATAGTTGTGTGGTTTCAGTCGTGATTGCCAACTTGATGATAGGTGTACCACAGGAGATTATCCAGTTTTACCCAATTGGTATGATTTTTTTTTTTTAAATTTAACAGTACAAATAGTTTTTGTTTATCTGCCAGCAACATAGAATGACCGGCAGAACAATTTGATCCTCTTCCACAAGGTGGCAGAAGGTACATTTAACCCGTGTATCTACTTTAAGTGACTTTTTTTAGTCGTGTCTTGTGAATTTTTTTTTGTAACATAAGATATCGTATCTTTGAAACACTTGTATGTTAAATGTGTTGCTGGGAAGAAAAGTATCTATCGTCTCTGTAAAAGCCATAAATTGCGTTAAGCCAGCTCGTTGGTCTGTTAGAATGATCAACGAGGGAACACAAATATGCCACCATCATTTAGCTTTGTGCTGGCTGCTAATTTAAAATCGTCATTATTAAGATAAATAATGCATCCGGCAGGATTTGTCTCCTTTTGAAGGTTACAGACTCCATCTTTTGTACCGCTGTTGAGAGGGATGTATCCTACCCGTACCTTTTCCTGATTGCAGCCTTCTCCTGGCAATAAATTTACGCACGGGACAAAGACTGGCTAAATGATGGCTTATTTCATTGTCCTTGATAGAAGAGCGCAAGTTAATGGTGTGGCACACAGGATTCATTCTAGCTTGTAAGCTCCTATTAAGATCTATTTGTTCTGTTGCTGTATTTGTTTCTCTCCACCGGGCACTCATCCATTCATCCATCCATCTTTAAAATCCATTTGCAATGGTTGTGAGCAAGAGTGTGTTTGACTGAACTTATGATGTGAAGGTCGCAAA